CCAATTCGAATCGAGTGGAGCATTTTGTGGTGCACGTGTCTAAAGAATTCTTGTGTCGAAACCACGTCGCGTCCGTACGTACAATGCTATCGGCAAAACAAATTCAATGTTAGCTCTGGCCTTGGTATTTTTATTGGTATTTCGTTGCGTAACATGTTTTGATCGGCGCTGATCTAATCTATAGATAGTGAACTATAAAACTTTCTTTCGAAATCGAAATTCAAAAGACATTTCGGATCTAGTTTGAATGTTCTCTCTACATCAACTACATTGCTTAGATGAATTAAAAAAGAACATAACATTATTATTTCCTGTTGCATAACATAATAGCGTTTTGCTAAATTTAATTTGATTTTTATTAAACTGTGTAAGTAGTAGGTATAGTTACGATATTTTAGTCTAATCACTAGTGGTAGGACCTCTTGTGAGTCCGCGCGGGAAGGTACAACCGCCCTGCCTATTTCTGCCGTGAAGCAGTTATGCGTTTCGGTTTGAAGGGCGGGCCAGCCGTTTTAACTATACTGAGACCTTAGAACTTATCTCAAGGTGGGTGGCGCATTTACGTTGTAGATGTCTATGGACTCCAGTAACCACTTAACACCAGGTGGGCTGTGAGCTCGTTCACCCATCTAAGCAATAAAAAAAAATCGTTTTGAGAAGCTTTCGAGTAGTTTCAAGTAGTCAAAAGGCCCATGTTAGCTTTGGCGCCAGATAAGTTTGCCATGTGCACCAACCCCACACTTCAAAGAAATATGCAATAAGTACGCATTGAGAAAGATTCGAAAAAGAGAGCTGCATTTTTTATAGATTTTTTAGATTCGCTTCCTTTATCTATTGAAAATGTTTGTTCAATTTTTTTTTCAGAGATGGGTTCCACGGCGTCACAGAGTGAATTCCGCCACTCACATTGAGATGTGAAGTCAAAATCTCAATTGCATAGTAAGACTGTTGTCAATCCTAAAGAGAGAATGCTTAGCTAGTTCCAGAAAGGATGGTAGTATCTACCCGCGCACACTTACAATACGAACACTACAGAACAAACATTACATATATTGTTAAGAATTTACCAATTTGAAATTTAAAAGTCGATTGAAACATACGTACCGCCTTTTTTGTTTGAAAAAAAAACCGTAGCACAATTAAAAACTAATATAAAAAATTAAACAACAAATAGACATAAAAACAAGTAGTCAGGAATATGAAACATCTAAATAACAACGCGATCTTGGCCCTAATTGCAATACAACAATTACATAGCCGTTGGCATGAGAAGCCACTCGCAGCCATGAATGAAATATCATTTAATGTAAGCCATACTTGCAATCCAAAACCGTGTGATTGCTCTAAATTCTGAACAAAATATATGTAGGAAATGTTCATGGAATCCGGATTTCTCTACAAATACATTTGACATTTATTCAAATGTGAATGTGAAGCTATGGTTTTCTATCTATATATTAATACGTGAAGCAAAAACTTTGTATCCCTTTTTACGAAAATTGCGCGGACGGAGGAGTATGAAATTTTCCACACTTATAGAGAATATAGAGAAGAAGTGCACAATGCTATTTTTTTTTTTAAATAATGCATAAAAGGTACATTAAATCAATAAAGAAAACATTACACACACTACATACCATGTATTTGACGCACACACGTATGCATAGGTACATTTATTGTCAAACTTTTGTTCTTGACGTCTGTTGTCAAATTGAGAATACATTAAATATTGTTTGTCTTTGTTAATATTTTTTTATAGTGTAGTCTTGGCGAAATTTGTGATTAGAGAAGTATAAAATACAATCATAATAGTGTACAAACTTACAATTTCAATTAATTATAGTCGAATTTCGACTACTGCGGGACCTCTAGTTATTACAATACTTTAAGACGTATGTGGTTTCATGTACTTTTAGTATTTTCTTTCTCTTTTAGCTGATTGTATTTTCTGTTTGAAGGAGATTAAGATTTAAACAACAAACAATGATATCAGAAGGAAAGTCTTAAATAATTCGAGTAGTGATCTAATTGTTTATTTTAAAACATGATAACGATAGCTTCATGGTTATAACAATTGCACAATGAAGAAACAACTACATTTTGCTTTCTTATCTCTAGAGAATTACGCAAACTTATTCTCTAGGTGTTAAGAGCGTTAACTATCGCTAAACTAAACTTTGTTGGCAGCAATTTACCCAGAGTTAAACGTGATAAATTTTGACATTATCGCTTCAGTGATCGATAAGTGAGCGTAAATTATCACGGATTTGGGTTGAATTCTTCGAAGTCTCGTCGAGATAATGATTGTGGGATGCGCACAGGTCTATAAAAGACACAATTGGTTTCTTGTGGCTGTTGTGTTAGAAAAAAAAAAAGATAAATAATCGTTTAAGATGCGGCATGGAAGAGCGGGGATTAAATGAGAGCTTTGGGGTGTGAGCTATAACATGCTATGCCTTTTAATATTTATATTTTATTTGTATGTTACCTAAACCCACCAATTAAGATGTATAGTTTTAAAATATGACCATGTGATTGAGTCATCATACAGTTCTCGTGTCTGACGCGTGTTTAGATCAGAATTTCATTGAAATGAGGGAACCGTTTTTATTTTATTTTAAATCACCAGCTCACGATTTTTCAAGTCAATTATTGACAAAAACTAGAGATTCCGTCACCCTCGTCGATTTGTTTCCTGGTTAACCGAATCGAATTGGCAAATTGTTTATAGTCCAAAGCATTAACTAACTGACATTAGTTCTACCGTGTTAAAGTTTATTATTCTAGCACACGAGTATTTATCACTAGTCCAATCGCGTTCTACGTCACTATCGCGTTGTCCTAAGCCCTTGGATGAGAGATTTATCTTTTCCTACTATCGCCAGCAATATTTGTATCTGCCATGTCTTCTCCTTCTTTCGAAGTCTACCACAGAGTCTGTCTAATTTGAAGGTGTGATTTTTTTTAAGTCTAATACACGAACGCATATTTTACTAATTATTCTGTAAGCTACCGCTACCGAACAGCTAATTATTCGTCTGTTTTATGTCGTAAATAGCACAGTTTCACCTCTTGTGTCTTTGGAGGTCAATGGCATTTGGCAGCAAGATGCCGTCAATAGGTACCTGTCGCGTCTCTTGGTTTAGAATGCTGTTCTCATTACCCACTTATTAAACGTCTACTGTTCGAAATACAAACCGACCGATGCAATTCGATGTTTATAAAAATAACATTAGTAGGTGAATATAATCGAAATAACTACAAAGTTGAGTGGAGCTCACAAATTGTTTTAATCATGTGGGACTTCGCACGACTTTGGCGGTGCAGTTCGAAATTAAGTTGGCAAACACTTGCGCCCTCGTTCGCAGTGAAAGTGGATCTTGAGCAAATCGTGATGAAGCGTATCGCAAATCGTTTATAAATTTTCGCGTGTATCAAGTATACGTCCAAGTTCGGAAACGGTGCACCTGCATTTTACAGTGAAACGTAGGTATGGGCGCGTCACGCATCGGAGAAAGTGTACTACAAAGGCGTACCTGCGACTGGTCCCCAATTGGGTTGTGACCTCGAATGTTTACTCGTCGAGTCTCTTCTCTTTTTTTTTTTAACCGACTTCAAAAACGAAGAGGAGTTCTCAATTCGACTGTATGGTTTTTTTTTTATGTTTGTTACCTCATAACTTTTGATTGGGTGAATCGATTTTGTTAATTCTTTTTTTATTCTGATCCAGTTCTGACAATGGTATCCATGAGAAAACCACATAATTCTTAAATTTGCATTAAGTACGTGCGCGACAAATAGATGAATAACTCAATAACTCAATATCACGCCAACCGATTTCGATGGTTATTGTTTTTAGTCTATATAAATTTTTTTGGATATTTTTTTTTTCTATTTGAAGTCGGTTTTTGTTAAAGCATGTCTATTTACAATTATTAGAATATCGCAAACCTAACTCTTCCTACGAACCGGTTTTAATTACAATAAAATGTCCTAAAACGCAATATTGTACCACAGCATGGCTTAATTACCTACACGTTCTATCTGGACTATAGCTTCGAAAATTAAGCTACATCAGCGAAAAAGATAAAGATATTAGTAATTTTCATAATATCGAGTAGCTAGTTTTTTTTTTTCATAATGAAACAGTACTCTGTAGGAATTTTAAATTTCATGAAACGGAATGTCTACGATTACCGATCTCAACTGAAATCTGTTTCCTAGTTTTTAAGGTATAATTTCGATTGGCATTCTTTGAACGTACGAGACGAAACTTTACTCGTATTATTCCTGGTTTTGTTTCTTTCCGCCACAGAACTGGATTCCGGGGAATCGTTGGACGAGGTTCCCAATTGTGCCGCTTCATTGTTTGTGTAATATGTTATCGTCCATTGGGTACGGAAGGGACAAAACTTTGAAGTCTTAATAATATCTACATAGTTGTGGTTTTTCATTAGCACGATCAAAATAGACTTTCGTCAATCAATTTCCAACTAAAACTGGCTCAAAAGTATTGGTCATATTAAATATCGTTATTAATTTGAACTAAAGACAAAAATCGTTGTCATTTAAATCATAAGATTAACAGAATATACAACATATTCAATCGACATCGCGTTCTTTCCGTATTATGAAGCGAGAGCTATATATAAAATTATGGATTAGTGTGTAATTATTAACCAAGGTTCTTAGATATTTATCGATTGTAAAAGAATTGATAAGGCCGTTACCACTATTATGTGTAACGCTTTTAACGTTCAATGTCGAGTTTTATGTTCAGCTGATAACATTCATGATAGGGGCACATGAGAAATAAGCAATTCTCGTCTTAAATTTTATGTCTATTTAAAGTTCATAATATAAATTTTATTCCATCTATCTTTACTCAACCAACGCCGTAAACGTTACATTTAAAACTGTGGGCACAAAAACTTTTGCAGAACAGGTTTTTTTATTCGTTCAAGTTAAGATCTTTTTTAAAAAAAAAACTTTTTTCTTACCTTGAAAGTTTCGGCAATCGTCAACATTAAAGTTTGTGCTGACTTAAATAACACAGTCTTCTGTTTATCTTTTTAAATCACACACTTTAATAAGCTTACAAATAAGCGGATAGTTCACAAAACTAAACGAGATAATAATCTTTGATAAAAATCTAAATGTTTGTACATAGTACATACACAAAAAAAATAAAAATAAGTTCAACAGTCTCGATGGAATGCATGCATTTCAAGTTGTTCGAACCCTTTGAAGTTTAAGGTGCTAACGTCAAGGGTACACCGCACCGTTCTGTTATTTGTTTACATAAATAATTTCACTGTCAAGCACAAAAATATCAGAAAGTACTACTATTTTCATCGTTAATAAGCTGTCACTATACGCGGAGCCCCACAGAACACGCACGACCGCTTCTGCGGTTGTTTTCAATATGGCGGACTTGCAACCAGTGAACGAAACGGGCACGCAGCCGCGAAGGCATTACGAAATCATTCGTTCAATTCGAAGCCTGCGCAGACGCACAAAAGAGAATACGAATATCGCAAAGACCTATAAACACTACATTAGTATAGTATGACTATTTATGTATTATTGTTAAGTTTTGAAGTTAAAGATAAAATAATTCTACCGGCTATAGAAAGAGCAATGCATTCAGCAGTTCAATCCTTGGAATTTTATAGTTGTTTTTTTGTTTGTGGATAAAAGTCGAATGCCAATGAAATCTAATGAATTCTTGTTTTTAATCAACTAAGTACTAGTCATACTTTTTGATACAATTCGAAGGCATAAAATACGTCAAATAAATGACGAAAATTATGTTCTAAAGTAAATAAAGTTAAGATTGATTTTTGTTTATTTTGAAAATAGATTTTGTTTATATTCAGTATCTGACACATTGCCATGATCATTGTCAAAACTGCAATGTCTTAAACAACATTTGCAAGAAAGTAAATAATCAAAATTTTTTATATTTAAATTCCAAATTATGTTTTAATTACATAACTATTCGGACAAAAATAATTTTTTTTCGAAATTAAAAATGGCTCTGGACTTAGTCAGTATCGCCCAACCGCATTATATTCCTGGGTTAGTACATCTACATTTTACAGAAGCAAAAGTAATTTCAGTCAATTGAAGATGTGAAAATTTTCTATCGCGAAGCAGCAGCTTTGATTTGAAGGGCGAGTTAGTCGTTATATTATTATGTTAACCAGTACTATTTATTGAGTTCCACCTCTTGTCTTAACATAGATGACGCCATTCACGTGCTGATGTCTAAGGGCTACAGTAAAGACTTAACAAGTAAACGTTCACTCAACTAAGGATTTTTCAATTTTTTTAATAAATCATACTGTCCAAGATGCTTATAATACGAATGGAGTTATTGCACAGCTTTAATTTCACAATAGTTGAACAACGAAAATTCACAAATAATATTTCACCGGCTGTCCACTGTCGCGACACGAACTGAAAGGGCTTTTGTGAAACCTTTTACGTCTTATTACGTAAATAACTGGCCATATGCAAAGTTATCATCGTGATAGGTACAACAAAGAGGTTTTTATTTGTTTTGTTTCATTGTAGCCAGTGCAGCGAAATATTTGTTTGTGATTGAAAATATCATTAATATTTTTGAAAGGAAGTCAGTGTGACTTGGAGCGTCGGAGACGACTTGAGCCAACTGGTTGCAAGGGTTAAATGATTCGGGCTGATGATCATGATACCGTTACATTTTTTATTTGCTGGTGGTACGGTGACCTATGAGCCTGCACGGGTAGGTACCACCGTGTTGTCTATATCTGCTGCTTAAATGCCGCCACCCACCCTGGGACATGAGTTCTAAGACTTCGTTTTTACAGTACAACGGCTGCTCCACCCTTCAAACCGAAACGCTTTTCTATAATTTTGCTAATATTAATTATGTATGAATGTGTTATTTACGGAATATGTATTAACAGGTACACGGGTCATTGTCCCGAGTACAAGTATCGGATCGGCGATACGTATGGCTCGACAACACACAAGATCCTTCTCGATCCGAGCGTGCAGCATTCAGAGAGGCTGGTGCTATCCGATAGAACGGCCGATGACTTCCAGGTGAATATATATAGCTTTCATGGATTGCGCTTTTTTTTATTGCTTAGATGGGTGGACGAGCTCACAGCCCACCTGGTGTTAAGTGGTTACTGGAGCCCATAGACATCTACAACGTAAAATGCGCCACCCAACCTGAGATATAAGTTCTAAGGTCTCAGTATAGTTACAACGGCTGCCCCACCCTTCAAACCGAAACGCATTACTGCTTCACGGCAGGGCGGTGGTGCCTACCCGTGCGGACTCACAAGAGGTCCTACCACCAGTAAACAAGAGTTGCGTTTATTAATTTTTACGCTGGTTTTAATGTCATTAAGACTTTGACCCTATTCTTGTCGGATTAAGGTTCAATTAGCGGTATTCACATCGTAGGATCTATGGACTCCGATCACTGCCTGGCAGCAGGTAGGTCGTCATGTCCTCTACGCATTAACTCGAATCGGAAAACGATTTTCTTAATACGAACATCGCAAATATATATACAGTGACCGGTCCCATTTTTCTCTTACAAGTATGCTACAGGCCTTGAAAACATGTGAGAACAACTTAAGACATGAGCTTGAGCTCTCTATTGTATTATAAAATGGCTGTCTCAAGTCTTTAAGCCGTAACACATGACTACGTCGCGGCAGAAATAGGGAGGGCAATGGTTATAGCTTATCACAATCCCTTAGTAACATTTTACGAAACATACCGGAAGATAAAGGGTGGTGTTATGCTAGAGGTCACAGAGTATCGATGTGACACTTAACGCATAGCTCTCTAAGTTTCTCACCGGATCCTTTCGTTCATTCATTCATTCGCGAAGCAGCCGCTCGACCTACTAGGCTGCTCTCAAAGACGTTCAGGGAGCTATTAGGAAACCTCTCCCCTCTCGGATGAGCCCACGAATTCGCTCACCCATCATAGTCAAAGTCTTCGCATTCCAAAAACAATACCGTTGTCTCAAAAAAAAGGGTCAAAACAAGCATTGGTTTCCACTTAAGAAATTACTTTTTTTATGTATGAGAAGTCACTGGTGCCCCGAAGGCCTTTCTAGTTTTACCAGGGTAGGTGGGCGAGCAAAGGCTCAGTCAGGAGGGGTGGGGTTTGCTAACAGCTACCCGAGCGCCTCTGAAGGAAACCTAACGACTCAAGAGTAGGTAGCTGTTTTGCGAACGAATCTACTACCGGATCGGAATCGCGACCCGCCAAGAAGATCCGGTGAGAAATTCAGCGGGTTGATGTTTAGGTTAGGTTGCACGTCGAACTCTTTGCCGAGTTCGACGAGTACGGTTACCGGGGTCCCTACTGATCTGATGGATCCGTAAGGACGTGTCTAGGGCGTCGACGGTGACTGGCTCCTGCGTGATCAGAATTCGGGGAGTAGTCAGCGGCGGGAACGATAAGGCGATTATCGTGACAAATACTTTACTTCTGATGTAATGTAATTTGTAATTTCCGAACGTGATTCTGTAACGAACGTGTTTCTTTTGTAAAATTTAAATTCATTAAATGATAAATAATAATATATAGTATAATAATAGTACGCGGGTTGTTAGATAGTTGTTTCGTGTTTTTTTTACATCGTTTTCTGAGAGACCTAGTAAATTAATAAAATATTTTTATAAAGAAAATTCAACACATTATCGTGTAAGTTGCCAATGTTACTACACGTCAGTTTTTATATCGAATTTACTTAACCTATATTATGTTTCTCTATGTGTAAAAAGTATAATTGTAGCATAGTTTTTTTAGCGTACTGAGTTTCTCGCCGGATCTTCTCAGTGGGTCTCGATTCCGATCCGGTGGTGAATTCTGCGAGGCATTGCTCTTGCTCAGACTAGTGTTACATAATTCCGTAAGGTTGAACCTGTGAGCTCACCTACCCGTCCGGACGTAGCTGGAATAGCCCCTTAGGTTACCAGCGAATAGGTAGGGAAAAAAAGAATAGTAACTATCTAAGAGAAATGCAGGGGACGAACGTTTTTCAAAGCATTCATAAATAAATTAATATATATCATGTGGAGAGTATTAAGCGGTAGGCAGTGGCTTGGCTCTGCCCCTGGCTTTGCTGAAGTCCATGGGCGACGGTAACCACTCACCATCAGGTGGGCCGTACGCGCGTCTGCCTACAAGACCAATAAAAAAAAAAAACACTTTGTATTATCTTTGGTAATGCAAAACTTTAAATAGATCCGCGTGCGTGTATTATTTTACAAAAAGCTGTTGAACACTGACATACCTACCAACTTTAGTAAAGGAGGGTTGTAATCGTCAGGTTCGAGCCCCGTGAGCTCACCTATTTGTTAGGGTTATGCTGAAATGGCCTCTCAAGGCCACCAGCTTAGGTAGGAAAAAAAATTGTTTCAGCGTTGCCAACTTCGATCAACAGTTACTATTGTTGATCGAAGGTTGCCAATGTAAAAAGAGTTTCTCCATCTCAGACTTTTGTTTTAGATCTACCGTCCAGCACAGAACGAGATAGACATCGTGAACGCACGTTTCCGTAATGGCGATCCCGTTTACAAGCATCCCATGATACCAGGGTACGAAGGTAGGTGACGTTTTTACAATAGCCAAACATCATACAGCATCATACAAACATCATCGGTAGACCGCAGCTTGGCTCTGCCTCTGGCATTGCTGAAGTACATGGGCGACGGTAACCACTCACCATCAGGTGGGCCGTGCGCTCGTCTGCCTACAGGTAAATAAAAAAAAATCAAGAGATTTCACTCTTCGAATTTCGTAATTTCTGTTTGTCTGTATATCACAGACAAATCGCTGCGGGTCACACCTTTGAGATATAAAAACGTCTAGTTATGGATATCCCTGCCATTTCTAGAGTTAGCCTTCGTTTTTAGTTTAGTTGAAGCGTTTGAGTCACTGCAATACTGATAGTTGCATTTATGAAGTAAGAATTACTAAGAATAACGAATGGAAATTTAAAACGACCGTGTTGTTTGACGTACAGAGTGAAGAAAGATGGCGTTTTCGAGCCGAAAGGAAATGAACTATGAATCCAAAGTTAACGCGAAATTCATTTTACTTTCAAGCATAAAAAATATGGAGTTTTAGTGTTTTTTTATATTTGTTCACTTGTATTGTAACGTGGAGAACTAGAGAAAGCGTAGATATCACACGATCGCCAATTTTATATTAAGCACCATTAGGAAATGCAAATAACAAAAGCGTAAGGAAAATTTTCGAATCTGATTTTTTTTAGATTTCTCGAAAAGATTATCAGATTTTACTTACTTACTATCTTCAAAACAAAGAGGGAATACAATAGAACATTTTTGAAGATGAAACGAGAATTTTTGCAATTATACGTATCTATTTACATGTAACTGGATCTTGGTGAATCATTGCTTTGTGGAATTGAGTCATAAGCCGGACCGGTCCGTGGTATTCCACAGTTTCCTTTCAACCTAGTCCTTGGACCGAAACGAAGCTACGTCAAACTTTTAGAAGGCATTTAAATTATAATATAGTAAGTACCGTTGCGAGGAAAAGGTGCAAATCTGTTACTTAAAAATAATGTAAAGTTTTGAAGATTTTCGAAATTTCATTCATTTCTGACGAATTGAGATGCCTGCTAGGAGCGGAATGTATTGTTAGGCGGTTGATTTCGGGGCCCAAAATCAGTCCTAAACCGATTTAGGGCACGATTTTTGGCCCCCGAAATCTAAATCGAATTAATAGTGTGTATGTAAAAACCTTGAACTTACCGGAGTCCGATCGCTCGTCACAAGCATGCAAGCTCGTTATTGAATCATTACAACAGATCAGACTTTTATTGATCCCTCCTGGCTGAGTCCCCTCCTGGCTGAGCATTTGCTCGCCCACTTGTCCTGGTGAAACTGAAAAGGCCTTCGGGCCACCAGTAATGATTCAATCACATAAAAAAAAACTTTTATTGAATTCTCGTTCGTATATCTAGCACGGAAAAATAAAACATTATTTTATTCTTGCAACCAAATTTTTGTTTATTCAAATTACGTAATGGATTAGTGTAATGTGATGCCAAAAGCATTTTCTGCCGGTCGAAACGTTCTGATTAACAGAAAATTGAATTTTACTTTAACAAACTAAAAACCGTGCAGAACTCACGAACTACATACCTACTTACACAACGAAGGAATTACGTCGTGTACCTAATACTTAAAAATCAAATCCATGAAGTTTATGAAATTTACAAGTGGTACAGATGTGTATTATAACCACAATCCCGCCTATTTTTGCTGCGATGCAGTGAACGGTGATGATGTCGCTGGAATCCTTTAGATATGATGATCTGAATGTCGTCGTCTTTGAGACATGAGGTCGAAGTCTCAATGGTTAAATAAACCGTAACGCGTTACTGCTTAACGGCAGAATTAGGCGGAACCGTGGTACTTACTCGGTGCGGGCTTAAAATACGTTCTACCACCAGTAATTGATGTATTCATTTTTAATTAATTTTGTGTCGCAATATACAGAGAGTAATTATAATATTAACGTAAAAATTTTGCGTAACCAAAACGTTTCAAGTTTCCACAATTAAATAGCTATTATATAAATGCAGACGAGGGAACAATAGAGTTGCGTTATTTAAAACCAAGTTTGTGTGTATTTGACAATTCCGGTCTAAGCATTTCCTTAAGGGATCAGATAGAGAAAAAAGGCAGTAAACTGGTAAAACATGAAGGTCAATTACATAATGAACAAGAAAGAGTTTTTTCAAATGAGGTTTGCTTCTTCAAAGGAGGTTTGCTGCTTTAAACAAAGTTTGTCTCTTCAAACGAGTACCCATCGTTTAAGAGCTGTTTGGCTGTACCCCTGGCATCGTTGAGGTCCATCCGCGATGGTAACTGCTCACTATCAGGTGGACCATATATCCGACTGCCTATTCTATTTTATTCTATCAGCCCAGAGACGTCCACTACTGGACATAGGTCTGCCCAAACCTCGCCACAAAGATCGGGCTTGCGCTGCTTGCATCCAGCAGACCCGCGAATCTCAATAGGTCGTTCACTTTGGTCCCCCTTGTGAGACCGACGACTACGGTGCCTACCCACGCTACGTCTACGTCACGACTGCCTAAAGGGCTATAAAAATAAAGAAAGAAGTAATGGACCCCAGTGTTATGATCGAACCAGGGCATCTTACATGATTTTAAATGTATTACATATTTTGTAACTTAAATATTGATTGTGGCATGATATATTGCTTGTCCAGCAAAAGAAAACGACATTTATTCCTAGGATTTCTGCCTCGTCTGAATGCACACTTCGGCCAAAGATATACCGTGTCAGCTACGGAAGCACTCTCCGAGTTTCAGAGGTTGCAATTGAACCAGAGGGCAGCTAGGAACCAACTGGAGAGGGTCGTCAGTCTTCAGGCCGGAAAGGGACAGCCCTGGGATTTGGTTGACAGATTCGTAAGTTGCGAAATACAATGCTTTTGAATGAATTTAGAGGTTCGTTGGAAGAACGTCTGTGAAGTTGAATGGTTTGCGAGGTCGAAACACAAGTCACGGAAAGCTACGAATGTGATTAAGAAGACGAAATGAAAGGAGATGTATGAAGAAAATGATCGCTTCTTCTGTTAAAGATGAAAATAAATTGTAATCTTGATGGAAGAAAAAATGTGTGGAACTTATCCGAAAATAGAATGGCAGAAACGAGTGATTGAAATGAAAAATGAGTGAGTAAATATCTGCAGAACAAAAAATAAGCGTTAAAATAAAGTTTTTTCTCGATCCAGTCTGCTACAGCGGAGTTTAAGTTGCCCTTGGTCGTAGTACGACCGGACTGTGCGGGAATACTTCGTGATCTACCAATGGACGAGCCGAAACTGTCTCCAGCATCGCACTCCGTCAGTCCTTACTTTATGGAAAACGATGATCCAGACAAATTCATAAAGAAAGGTATTGAATAAAAACATGAATAACAAAGAAAATTCACTTGGGATTTTTAAGTCACAATCTGTCACAATCTATACTAATATCTATATTAATATATAAATCTACACTGGTTTTTACGGATGTTCCGTTATAATTACTGAACCATGCATCCGATTGACTTGAAACTTGGTATCCATGTAGAAAATACATGTACTTAATGGATAGGCTAATATTTATATGAGTGTTGGACTCCCTGATAATAATGACAATAAAAAATAATATAGTCATTTTAAATGCCCAGCGAAGCGGGCGAGTACGGCTAGTATATTAATTATACAATAATAATTATATTAAAACTTTTTCATTATTTAGAAAGGTGTACTTTAAACGTAATGTCATGTTTTTGAACTTGTGATTGTTTGGCATCACTTTGACATTTAATTTTTTTATTATTTAATGTAGGTATATAGATATGAATTTGTATTGAACTAATGTCCTACGCTAAAATTCATTCATCGTTCGTTAGGAATCAGATATGGGGCTTTAATCCCTCAGAATCGATCCGTAAGTAATCGAAGTGCATTTTAATTTGCATAGTTGGTCATGTGAACGCTTAGTTAACATGTTACTAATTGTGCCAAATCGATAAAGCCTTAGTTTCGAGTAGTGCTTTGAAATGGACATCAGACGGGAGCACGGAGTGCTTTGGGCCACAAAAGGAGAAGATGATGGGAATAATTGTGTTGCGGAATAAGTAAAGATGTTAATAAATATAATAAAAAGAAAAGAAAAATAAATAAAATTATAGTACGCAGTATTACTGATTTGATAAATCAGAGAGGATGTCCGGGACATTTAGATCGCATGTTAGGATCCCGACTATCTTTTAATGTAAAATTCTTGGGACGTTATTTTGCCACAACATGTTTGCTTGTACATATTACGTGCCTAAAATGATATGTTTTTGCTAGGTAATACTAGCTATATAGGCGTACATATGAGTCGTCTATTAACAAAGGTGGCAATCTGTGCATTTGGATAAAAAAATGTTATTGATATGTCAATACAGATTGATTTGAATATAAGCGTCTCCTTCAAAGAATACGGTCCAAAACCTGCATTAAATAAAGGTTAATACTTAACCTGTTATTTATCTAAGATGTCGTTCAGAAGAGTTTTGTGACTGCCAATGGAATACAAAGTAAATAATTCATTTTTCTGATTTACCAATAATTGTCCAAAAGTCACATTGCCGGCTTTGATAATAGTCGACTCATATATGGAAATGATTTTTTTTGTTCGCTGTAGGGTTTTCGGGTCATGTGCCGTACGGCTTTCAACGTTTCGGCGAGTCCTCGAAAAAGCTCACTAATTCGGCTCTCTGCGACTTTTCGTCGAATTACCGAAGAAGGCAGAGCACTGAGTGGGCTCCTGTAAATGTGGTCAAGTAAGATTATTTTATTTATTATGTAATGAAATTTGAAATAACTGTAATCAAATAGTAGACGGTAAATTTTAATATCTACCTAACTTACGCTAAATCTAAATGTACAAAATAATTATAAGTCACATGTTTATTAAATACAAGATGAAATTAAAGTAACATCATGTTTAGTCGCCCACTGCGTCATCTATTTTAGTAAATAGTTTTGAGCTACATACTTATTCACTAATATTTTACAATAATGTCTTAAAAAGTATGGGCAGTGCTTCTGCACTGTGTTCTTCTGTATTCTGCGTAATTAACATTGACGTCTCATAAATGTCAAACTGACTTCCATTCTCTAGACGTCAACGTCCATTGTAAAAACTTAAAAACCCATATTTTGATAAATACGGAAGACGTGTTTCCAAAACTTTTATAAAAAAATAGTAACGTGGCTTTGCACAAAGAAATATAAAAATGACAAAAAAGAAACTATTACCGAATCTTTCAAAAGAAGAGAAGATGGTAATAGTAGTATCAGAAATAATTCAGGAGTTATTGGTCGCTCATCGTCAGGGCAAAGATGTTAACCTCAACAAGATGAAAACGCGGATATCTTCCAAATACGGTCTCGGCACGTCTCCGCGACTAGTGGACATCATTGCTGCTGTACCAACAGACGCCAAAAAGATTTTGCTACCGAAATTAAAAGCTAAACCTATTCGCACAGCCTCTGGTATCGCCGTCGTTGCGGTTATGTGTAAACCTCACAGATGCCCACACATAAACTTTACCGGGAACATTTGTGTATATTGTCCCGGAGGTCCGGATTCGGATTTTGAATATTCAACTCAAAGTTATACTGGATACGAGCCCACATCCATGAGAGCTATCCGAGCTCGTTACAATCCTTACTTGCAGACTCGTCATAGAGTGGAACAGTTGAAACAACTTGGTCATAGTGTGGACAAGGTAGAGTTCATTGTGATGGGAGGAACGTTTATGAGTTTGCCTGAAGACTATAGAGATTACTTTATTAGGTAAGAAAAAAGATTTTAATTTAAGGAAAGTTTACATTGTATAAAAATATAGAAATTAATCTTGGAATTCCTTTGATTCCTTTTATTGAATGAAATTTATTTTATCCTAATTTCAACTTTCATTGATTGAGCTTTCTGAAATATAACTCTTCTTCGTTTTATTGAAAAATTTGGAGTCAAAACTATTATTGTGAGTATTTCCTTAGGAATCTTCACGATGCTCTGTCAGGCCACACTTCAACTTGTGTAGCTGAAGCTGTGAAGTACTCTGAGAAAGCAAAAACGAAATGCATTGGGATTACAATTGAGACAAGGCCTGATTATTGTCAGCAAAGACATATGAGTGATATGCTTAATTATGGATGCACAAGGTGAGTGTTATTGTAAGAAATGATTATTGGCAATAAATGCACATTAAAGATAAGTCAATTTATTTCATAAATTTAGTTTTCAATGTGTAGTGAATAGCTATCACAGAAAATCAGATATTTGACAGGTCCATGAATCTCCCCGATGGGATTTTCAAAATAAGAAGCCTCAGACAGAGCCCACTGAGTTTCTCCCCGGAACTTCTCAGTGGATCGCGTTTCCGATCCGGTGGTAGATTCTGCGAAGCACGGCTCTTCTTAGGGTTCGTGTTAGCAACATCATCAGGTTTGAGCCCTGTGAGCTCACTTACTAGTTAAGGCGACGCTGATATAGCCTCTCAAGGCTCTCAGCTTAGGCAGGAAAAAAAAATCTAAATAAGATTGTATTTATATAAAAGTTCCAAACAATAATATTCAGACTATCAGTCTACTGAGCAATTTTACGTGTTACATGGCAGATTTTCTCTTAGTTGATCTCCCAAGTAATAAGCTAGAGTATTATCTTAAAAAAATTCTGTCTGTTTTGTTTTATTTTATTTAATTATTATTTTTGTGGTCGAATGGTGTATTAATATTAAGTTTACACAGGTTTCTAATTTATCCACCACCTAAGTTATGTTAGCTATGAAAGATTTATGTTCTAGTCTGAACAGTATTGCACTAAAAAAAAGTTTTCACTTTAATATGTTAGACTATTAATGTGTGCACATTGTATTGTGCTATGGTAATCACTTAAAACAAGTGAACCTTGAGTTTCAGCTACCATCTTTGTATTTTATTGTTTTTTCATCTATTTAATTTCATCAGTAAAATTTTATTTACAATTATTATTTTCAGGCTTGAAATTGGTGTACAATCAGTTTATGAAGATATAGCCCGGGACACAAATAGGGGACATACAGTGAAGGCGGTATGCGAGAACTTTAGTATGGCTAAAGATGCTGGTTACAAGGTACGTTGTCGGTAAGCAGTGGCTTGGGTCTGCCCCTGGCATGACCGACATCCATGAGCTACGGTAACCACTCACCAACAGGTTTGCCGTATGCCTAATATGGTTACAGTCATAGGATTTTAACATGAATAATCTGTCTAGATATTAATAAGATTTAGATATGTGAATATGTTGTAAGCTGATAAGGGTGGGTACTCCAATCTTACTTATTGCAACAACAATGTCATTTTTTGTTTTATTTTCAAAATGAAACTGAAACTAGTATTTGTTCGAATAGATTAAATGTCTCTCATGTTTGATTTGCTCAATGTCTTATGAGCATCAGCAAATAATATTTATTGATGTTTTTGTCAACACTGTCTGAACTAAAAGAAATATGTGAAACATGTGTAAGGCTACACTAATGATAACAGATGTGTCCAGACTGTTCAAAGTAAACAGAAAACATTTACTAAACATGAATACTTGTCATTTTAGTAAGATAATATTTTTGGTTTGCAACATAACATGAAAGAAGTTGGCAGTGCTATTTACTCAGTTGTTGGTTACCTTTTTGGCTTACTGAACGGTCCCAACACATGACAATTATTGTACTAGTAAAATATGAAACAAACTCATTGTAGAAAAGTAATTATAAATATTCACTCGCAGATTGTCGCCCACATGATGCCAGATCTACCAAACGTTGATTTTGAAAGGGATGTGGAACAGTTCATTGAGTTCTTTGAGAACCCTGCATTCCGAGCTGATGGACTTAAAATTTACCCAACACTGGTAATAAGAGGTACCGGTTTATATGAATTATGGAAGACCGGGAGATACAGGAGTTATCCTCCTTCAACTTTAGTCGATCTAATTGCGAAGATATTAGCTCTAGTGCCACCATGGACTAGGGTGTACAGGTAATTTTATTTTTAATTATATATATAAGTGGTCAAGTTACAGCCCATTTGGTTTGAAGTGAATGTCACTGTCAATGTACTATAGCATTATGTAACAATATACTTATTTTACAACATACCTATTTTAAATCATCACTTTTTTGTTGTTGTAAAGTAGATGAAAAAACAATTGTGTTTTTTTTACACAATGATTTTTTTTTTAATAAATGAATAGAAAATATAATTATTTATATAATAATATAATAATTATCATCTTTGCACTCCCCTAAGGTAGACTGTTAGAGAATGCCTATGGCATTAAGTCCGCCTTTATACTTTCTAGTATAAGAAGTTATAAATAAATAAATAAAATATAAATATAAATATAAATAACCGATGAAATTTTACTCTTATCAAAGAAACCTAAATCCAACATTGAAATTACAGAGTGCAAAGAGATATTCCCATGCCTTTGGTATCATCAGGAGTCGAGCATGGTAATCTTAGAGAGCTAGCTTTGGCCCGAATGGCAGACTTGGGTACTGATTGCAGAGATGTGAGGACGAGAGAGGTTGGGATACAGGAGATACACAACCGAGTCCGACCGTATGAGGTAAGGAATATATTTTAGGAGTTGTACAAAATATTGTTTAGTTCTATACTAATAAAAACACGATTTAATAAATTGAAAATTAAATTGTGTATTCTGAATAGTCATGCTAGTAGATCAGAGTAATAAAGTTATCATTGACCCTTCATGTGTTTACAAATTTTTAATATAGTTAACTGATTCAAATTGATAAACCGATTGTTACAACATAGAAAACAGAAGAAGATACTACCAAAAAAAAATTGCGTCGCATACATGAAATTACACCAAAAGACAAAAAAATACAACTAATAAAAATGTTTTTTCATTTGATTTCAGGTTGAGCTTATAAGACGAGACTACGTAGCCAACGGTGGTTGGGAGACGTTTTTAGCTTACGAGGACCCGAATCAAGACATCTTAGTAGGCTTGTTGCGGTTGAGAAAGTGTGCCGGTCAAACTTACAGGCCGGAATTAAAGGCCAAACCTAATTCGAATTTTGTACAGTGCAGTATTGTAAGGGAGTTGCATGTTTATGGCTCCGTTGTACCAGTAAGTTAATTTTTATTATGCACTGTTAGCAATAAACTTTGGATTTGAATGATTGATAGCATTCCTAGTCTGTATGCGTATATGTAGTATAGTATTTACTGGTGGTAGGACCCCTTGTGAGTCCGCACGGGTAGGTACCACCACCCTGCCTATTTCTGCCGTAAAGCAGTAATGCGTTTCGGCTTGAAGGGTGGGGCAGCCGTTGTAACTATACTTGAGACCTTAGAACTTATATCTCAAGGTGGGCGGCGCATTTACGTTGTAGATGTCTATGGGCTCCAGTGACCACTTAACAACAGGTGGGCTGTGAGTTCGTCCAGCCATCTAAGCAAAAAAAATAATAATTGGGAAACTGCCCATTTCTGCCAATTTTAAATTCAAAGTTTAGATTTTACAAAGACATGTACCTATTATTTAATTTGTAATCTCATTTTAACAACACTTCGGCGTGTGTTTTACTTGCGTAATAATAGTAAGATAAATTTTTTTTAGGTAAATGCCCGAGATCCAACCAAGTTTCAGCATCAAGGCTTCGGCATGTTGCTAATGGAGGAAGCCGAGAGAATCGCGCGGGAAGAGCATGGTTCCGACAAAATGGCTGTTATTTCGGGAGTCGGAACGAGGAATTATTATGCTAAAATTGGTTACCATCTCGAAGGGCCGTACATGGTCAAGATGCTTGCGTAAAATATAATACAGGCCTGTGTCAAACACGATTCTACCGATAAGCGCACCTGTAAATTGGACTCATGACAAAACATATTGCATGCAACAATAAAGTGTTTTTTCTCTCACTCTACGCGTGCTTCCCTTTCTAATTAATACCTCTCTGATGAAGTCTGATTTGCAAAGGGTCGATTTGCTTTGATTTATCGCAGAGGAGGTGTGAAAGTAGCCCCGGTAATTAACAAATTAAAGAGCGGGCGGTTAGTGTGGAATGGACATAATAATATGATGCGTAGAGAGAAGATGCATGTGACTAGGAGATGTATGGAAATGGTAGTGCAAGGTAGAGGAGGAAGAGGTCAACCGAAGAAGACATGGATAGAGTGTGTGAATGACGATATGAGAGAGAGAGAGAGTAGTGAGTGTTGAGATGACGGCTGATAGAAGAGAACGGAAGAGAAAAATTAATTGTGCCGACACCCAATACCGTCTTTACCATAAGGGCACACGGGGCCCGTGCCCAGGGCCGCCATTCTCAGGGGGCCTCGAAAGACCGACAATTTCTCTCACACGTTTATTCTCAAAACATTTTTGTCGGGCACATTACACTTTTTCAGAAATCAGTAATCGGAAGGTATTTACAAGGAATATACTATGCCTATAATAAAAGATTTTGCTCAACAGAAATCCCGAAAAAAACCGTTATCGAAATCGTAACCAAAAACATTAATATCATTAATGACATATTATATCATACTGTATTTGATTACCTATAATAAATGGTCATACTCAGTAAAAAAATGTTATTATAATTCGCTTTTTTTACTTTCCAAAAGGGCCTCAAATTCTTTGTGTGCCCAAGGGCCCCATCATAGTTTAAGACGTCCCTGCCGACACCACCTAGTGGGATAAGGTGGAGAAAGAGATCGCCTCTTCATGATCTCCGTTGACCCGGGGCACAATATACGATACAGTACGAACACAGGTCTAATATTGTGTTATGGTGCTTGATATTTGTAACTAACACTTTGTAAAAACATACAAAGACAAATAATTAGTTTTATTGTATATGTATAAATAAAAAAATAAATGATGAGCTTCAAATTTATTTGTTTCGTTATTTCTTTCTTTCTCTCTGTATTTAAGATATTTTGGAGGTCATATTTTTCAATAAGTATTGTTCGCGTAATGTGAAAGTGCCTAGTAGAATGCTATAGTAGAATTATTTTGTCCGTGCAGTTTGGGTCATAAAACATAGCCCGGCTAGGGCCGTGAGCATGTTGCGCGGGCGGAACGCCATTATCGATAAAAATCGAAGGCAGGTACACGGTGGTGAGACATTATGTTATGAGTCATTTGTACTTACCTGCAAATTATAGTACATTATGTCGAAGAGAAATGTGTTTTTATGCATTTGTTCTCTATAGTGACACAATGGCTACTCCTTTGTTTTGTATCAAAAAGGCAGAATTTGTTCAAAATAATATTTGTTGTTATCAACAAAGTGTTAAAATTTTTCACTGAAATAAGAATAGATCCCGAAAAGTTACAAAGTGTTAATTTCTGCCGTTCTCGTTAACTTGCTGCGGCGATATGTGGTGTAAGTGTTCGATTAATGATTTTTTCTTTCATTTTTATCATTAACCCACAAAATGACAAAATTAAATATACTATCGATAACGCTTATCGACAGCAATAATGCGCATCACTATGCCCGTCCATAAGGCTCGTGAGTGGAAGAGAGAGCGAAATACCCGCTTCACCGCTCCGATTTTTTATAACCCAAACTGCACGGACAAAATAATTCTACTATAGTATGGATGTGAAGACATTTTTTTCACTTATTGATGAGACGTGACAATATAGATATGTACAAGTATCCAAGTTGTTGATTTACAACATATGAATCCGAAACTATGTTTTTTTTTTCCCACAAAGTAAAAATTCATCACCTTAGAAAGCTGAACCAAGTTGCTATCGTGGAGGTATTTTCATTCCAAAACCAGATTGATAGTAGCATAAACGATATCTGGAAACGCACTGTTTTGTCTTTAAAAACATTACATACTGTGGAATATACCAGAAAAAGAGGATTAATAATATAAAATCTAGGCTAATGTTTCTCTAACCAACGATGACCTTAAATATATTATTGTTACCAAGGTTTATTAATGATTTACTTAAAATTTCCATTCCATTATTCTTGCCTGATATAAAATTTCCATGAATCCTGCCAAATTTAATTTTACCTCGCCTCTATATAGTTTCTTTAATCTTTCCAGACCTGATCCTCCTTTATCCATAAATCCCACTGAGATCTACCATAAGCACGTCGGCATGCTGCCCAACTACGCAGGTCACGTGCCGGGTTGCGTCTTCAGGTAAGTAATATATTTCTACCGTAGAGTGTAGTTAATTGGAGGCTCTACTTCTATAAATCGAGATAATATGTAAAATAACTATTTGAGTATTCGGAAATACAGTTGAAGAAACGCATGGCTCCTTAGGCTACCGGCGAATAGGTAGGGATCAATTTATCTATGAATTCTGGCAAACAATTATTATATAACTGTACAAGTTGCTACTTATTTTGTATTTACTTGCATATTTTTAATATTTAATCGTATGTAAGTCTATCTTATATTGAATTTATTTTTCACATGTGTATATAAGTATATATTTTTATGTAAGTTTATTAAGATATAACACCGTCCAGTTCGCTTATTACTCTCCCTGCAAGGTTGTCTGGAAGAGATCGCTTTCAGCGATAAGGCCGTCAATTTATGTCACCGACTATTATTTGTTTTACATGCTTATTCTGTACATATGGTGTTAAATAAAGTGTTATATTATTATTATTTAATTTCTTTCTCAGCTTGCGCTGGTAGTACTTTAGTGACATTTACGGAGTAATCGCTCAAGTAAATGTCACGGTTTCTTGGGGTTGGCTAATTAAGTGTGTTCTACTATTGTATTATGTGGTTGATCATCTATTTGCAGAAACTTTCTCACGATTCTGCACGTGTTTAATATTAGCAGCTTTTTGAAGAAGTATGTAAGTGTTAGGTTTCAGGTCAAGTTATTATTATTGTTATTATTATTATCTTGCTAAGTTTGATAACCGCTTATCGCTAAACTAAAACATTTGTTATATCTTACGTTGTTTAGATTCGGAAAAACCTACGGAAACGACACGAGAGACGCTAAGCGTTGGCTCCGAGGAGACTTCACATCGTAGAAGAAAGAAATTTACGTAATAAACTTACGTAGGTACGCTTAATTGCATTTTGCCAACAATAAATTGTCAGTAACTGTTCACAAACCTCAATTACCATTAAAGAGCTATGGACAAAATTTTTATGATTTTTAATTGTTACGAGTATGTACTGAATTTTTAAGGACCTTGTAGTGGTCCACTAAGTTTCATGTCGGATCTTCTCAGTGGGTCGCGTTTCCAATCCGATGGTAAATTCGGCGAAGTGCTGCTCTTGCTAGGGTTAGTGTTAGCAACGACGTGAGGTTTGAGCCCCGTGAGCTCATCCACATGTTAGGTTACGTTGGCATAGCCTCTCAAAACTATCAGATGAGGTAGGAAAAAAAAGTGGCCCTGAAATTACAATACCATAACATATTTCCTACTTTTTTTTCCTACCTCTAAGCTGAGAGCCTTGAGAGGCTATATCAGTAGGTGAGCTCATGGGGCTCAAACCTGATGACGTTGCTAACACGAAGTCCAAGGGCGACGGTAACCACTCACCATCAGGTGGGCCGTATGCTCGTCTGCCTAAAAAAAAATTGTCTACCTTGGCGCCCTCTAGTACCCGTGTGCAATCATTATCTCAGCGTCCTCTAGTAAGCGCACGGTCAAAATGGAAAAGGTAAAAATATAACCGATTCAGTTGCTGTGGCCACGCCCAAAACACGTCATTACGGATCCTCCTGATCCATTAACGCTGCTTTTAGGTACCTCAAGCACCGGTCCCCGTCGTCGAACCCGTCGCTTGCGACGCAGGGCTCGACGAGCGAATTAACGCACAGACACAGCCCACTGAGTTTCTCGCCGGATCTTCTCAGTGGGTCGCATTTCCGATCCGGTGGTAGATTCTGCGAAGCACGGCTCTTGCTCTTGGGTTCTTGTTAGCAAGGTCGTCAGATTTGAGCCCTGTGAGCTCACCTACAAACGTTAGGGTGAAGCTGAAATAGCCTCTCAAGGCTACCAGCATAGGGAAAAAAAGCTATGGCCGCAGCCCTGCGACACCGCTGCGCCCACAAACTGTACCACAGCTTTTGGGTACTCGTGTCTGTTTGAACAATAGTTATTTTGTGCCGGGCTCAATGTTGATTTTAGACAATTGGGGATGCATTTCAAACTAAGTTTTTGTAGTTTTATTAGTTTGGATTTTTAGCAGACAAAATAAAATTCAAGTAACATGGAATAGTTTATTATATTGTTTTCAACAAAATAACAAAAAAATATATTGCAGATTATCACAACGTCGATATAAAAATATACATTTTTTTTTTAAATATAAATGCAGCGTCTTTATTACTTTTTCTTAGAATTCCATTCCTTTAGCAGATTCTCGGTTAGTTCTAGATTTTCGTCTTTCTGTAACGAAACCCAATAAATAAACAATTTTAGTTAATACTTTTATTTTTTCGTATTTTCTTTTATTAAAAGTAGAAGTCAAATGGATACAGTCGCCCGAGGACATCAGCAACGCCACGGCCAGTTTGCTTGTTTAGTTTGCCTTAAACTTTGGGTACAGGAGCACATGTCCCACCTGGCGTTAAGTGGTTACTGGAGCCCATAGACATCTACAACGTAAATACGCCACCCACCTTGAGAGATAAGATCTAAGGTCTCCGTGTAGTTAGAATACGAAGAGTTCGACCCATAGACAGAGACCACTGAGTTTCTCGCCGGATCTTCTCAGTGGGTCGCGATTCCGATCCGGTGGTAGATTCTGCGACTGCTCTTGCTAGGGCCGGTGCTAGCATTCTCTAAGCTCACCCACCAGTCGACTGATCGGTATCAGAAATTAGATCAGGATATAAATGTTACCTTTATAAAGCAGAATCTCGCGAACGTCTCCCCCAGGTGTTTGTGTGCTTCAGAGTAGAAGGCGCTCGGCGGTATGGCGAGTACGCCCGCCTCTTTAGCGAATTTCTTTGTGAACTTGTAATCTTTGTATTTGTCCAGTTCGCTCGATAAGTCGATCTTCTTTTCTGTAATAAATACAGACGTTAATTAAAACAGTATTCAGATTTCGAGTAGCACGTTTAATCTATATATCCCCCGTCCCCCGTCGCCTCGGATTCCTTTTGTTTTTTTTTTAAGTTTATTTTATTATACAAAAGGTTAGGTATTTTATTTATCGATTGAGGCACTACGAAGTCTGCCGGGTCAGCTAGTAAATATTAAAAAGGAAACATGTGTGCAATTCACACGTGTTAGAAGTGAAACTTTCAAAAATTAAAATACAATTATCCTAAATTTGTAAGTATATGTAAAATTTTGTCATTAGTCAATAATTGTAAATCATCTTTTATAGTATGAGGTAGCGTCTTCTGTGAATCGATATTTTAACGTCACTTATAGTCCTAAATTGAAATTCACTACAAGAGGTTTCATACGCACGTTAGTATTAAAAAATCTCATAGATGGCGCTGTATTAAAATTTTTAGACACTTCCGTTGCATACCTGCGTGACGTTACATCTGTATAAATTTTACCCTCATGCGCCTAAACAAGTTTCACTTCAAAAGAATTAGCTACCCAAGTCAGTCCAATCGGCCACGACAAAGTACCCGGCCTCGGGTAGAGTCGGTTTGAAACCGTTCTCCTTCAGTATCTTCATGAGGTAGTCTCGCTTCGGGCGCAGCTCTCGAGCCAGAGAATAGAAGTAGCACTCCGGCGAGTCGCGCCTGGCCAGCTCGTACTCGAACGAGCGGGCCACGGCTTCCTGGGGACAGTTCATCGAAACTATTATACAGTTATATTATATACTAACTAAAATGTACCGTATTTCGCACAGGTAGTTTCCGATTTGCCCCAAAAAGTGAGACGTTAGGTCATTCAATTAATTTCAATATAATTCTATAATCATATAATTAACTTCAATTAATTATATGATATATAATCATATAATTAACTTCAATTAATTATATGATTGAATGAAACCAAATGTAGATTTGGCTCAAAGGGCCAGAATTCAGGTTGCTAAATAAATATAAAAGTAAATACAAAATTTTTTTTTTGTATTTTATTTTGTATTAACTGTGCTCAAGCAATAGTCCAGTGTGCTTAGTGCTCGCATTTGTATGGAGTTGGAACAGCACCCCTAGCGGCGAACGTAGGTAAAAAATCCAACTCCATATATATTTGAGTTAACTTTTACGCTATCGAGAACGTTAAAAAATTCGCACTAAGCACACCGGTGAGTTAGAACGAGACGTACCTCGACTGGCGTGCAGCACGTGTACACACAGTTCTGGTGCACAACTTGCAGATTCCTCATCAGGTCGGCTGGTCCGTACGCCCACCCGATCTTCCACCCGGTGACGGAGAACGTCTTCCCCGCGGACCCGACGGTGATGGTCCTCTCCCACATGCCCGGGAAGGACGCTATCCGGATATGCTGTTTGGGCTCGTACACCATCCACTCGTAGACCTCATCGGAGAGACAAAGCACGTTGTGCTTCTTGCACAGATCGGCAATGAGTTCCAGCTCGCGTTGGGTGAACACCTTGCCCAGCGGATTGTGGGGCGTGTTCACGATGATCATTTTAGTTCGGTTGTTGAAGAGCGAAGCTAGCTCCGCCTCGTCTAAAACCCAATCCGCTGATGATATATCATCGCCTTGAGGTTTCTGCGTACAATTTGTTCAATGTAAGACCGAATAAAATTACCCTATGAACTATCAATTTAGCTTTAAAAATTGATCAAATCAAATCAAAAAAGTTTTATTCAACATAAATGAAAGTACATACTTGTTGAACGTCAAAAGAACTACCGCCAATTCACAAGAATTAGCCTCCGTCCTGAGAAGAATTGGCAAGAAACTCAGCGGGCATGTCTTTTTTTTTTTAAATATTAGAATTTTTTTTAATATTAGATTTTTTTAAATATTCATTTTTACAATAAGTAATTGTGAATAACAATTACTACAATATTGAAATGCCCGGAGCGAGCAACTCATTCCCACTTTGTGCAATCTTCTAGATAATCATTGACTTTATAGTAAGCTTTATTGTACAGATGTTCTTTAATAGTTTTCTTAAACCTATGTATATATATGTAGGTTCTGAACATCTTGTGGGATTTTGTTGTACAGGCGCACAGACAAACACCCGAATGAATTGCGTATCTTATGTAACCTACTCATCGGCACGACAAGCTTGTGTTTGTTCCTAGTATTTCTATAATGTATGTCCGACATTTTAGGAAACTCCTCAATATGTTTACGAACATACATCAAATTTTCAAAGATATACTGGGATGGCATAGTGAGAACTTTAATTTCTTTAAATTTTTCCCTCAGGGATTCCCTTGGATAGTTCATAGTGAGGATTTGTATGTGGCACCTATGACAGTTGAAGTTGAGAAGTGCGCGTTTGGGATGGTATGGACATGTGATGAGACGAAATGAAAATGAGGTTGATAAGAGAGTTTTAACTATGAATGTGGAAGAATATAGAGGAAGAGGTAGACTTAAGAAGAAATGGATGGATTGCGTGAAAGATGATATGGGTAAGAGGGGAATGAGCGAAGAGGACATATTGAGGACATAAAGCGCCGACCCCAGTGACTGGGAGAAGGGCAGGACAATGATGAATTCATAGTGAGAATTATAGAACAGATACTTAGAATTCACGTCTCAAGGTGGATGGTATGTTGATGTCTACGGACCTTACCACACTAAGCGACTCCATATTGCATTCTCTCACCCGTCCGTCCGGGTCAAAACCCAGTCAGAATAGGAGGGTTCACGTGATCAACACTATAACCGGACTCATGGCGTCACCCCGTAGACGCCCGACCGACGAGTCATCGCGGCCAGATGTCTATGGACACAGTTAACCACTTAACCTAGTTAAACCGTCTAATAAAAAAACCCTTGAGTAACAGACCTGGGGCCATGATCTTCTATTAGTAGCGGTTTTAAATCTTGACGAGAAGCCGAGGATAGTGCTTAGTGGCGTTGAATTATAGGGGCCAGTGTGCAGCAGTGGACTGCTGTAAGCTGATGTAGATGTAACGCTTTTTTAAATGAACTGGCATCGGGCATATAGTTATTAATCACGTTAGTAATAGGTAGGTTAATGTTAATTTAACGGCCGTCTGGTGTAGTGGTAAGTGACACGGTCACTACACAAGGGGGGTCGCGGGTTCGAATCCCGCCAAGGGAAGATATTTGTATGATAAATATAAATGTATTTTCCAGGGTTATGGATGTCTATTAAATATATGTATGTGTATAATAAAAATCTTACATTTATATCCGTTATCCTGTAACACAAGCTCTTTACGAACTTAGCACGGGATCAGTTAACGTGGCGTGATTGTTAGTAAATATTTATTTATTACAAAAAAAAAAAGAATGTAATTGTTGTATTAATATTGTGTTTTTTTTCCTCTTACTTTATAAGTTAGATTAGTTTTCGTTATCGTGTTGTTTTGTCGTAATTGTAAGGAGCATTGTTGTACAAATTCAGCACTATGTCTTGTTTTGTCGTGCGCACATAACTTATGTTGCAAGCCAGATTTTGTTTCTTTTTACTTGTGTTTTTTATGTATCTTTTTAGCTTGTGATGTGTATTCTGAGCCTAATAAATAAATAATAAATATAGTGAGTTCGCACGGACGGTGCCACAACCCTGCGTTTCTCTGCTGCAAAATTAATTCCCTCCGGTATGAAGGATACCAGTCTCTAATCCAATATAAATATTTAATGTCTCAATGACGGCAACTACTTTAATTTGGTGGTCACAAACAAAAGCATTTAATGCTGATTCGATGTCATAGGATACCTACCGGTTTCAGAGCGATGAACCTAGGTACACCTCCGGCGCACTTCACCATAAAGTCGTAGCAGTCGAAATATGGTTCTATAATGATCACCTCATCCCCGGTATCCACGTGACCTGGAAACATTTGAAGTGGTATTTGTTATAAGCGACAATGCCACCGTTCAAATCCCAAAAGCTGGTGCCTAATTTAAAAAAAAAAACATAATAAACCCGTGTTTACGAACGACTACCATCGATGTGAGATTTGAAGATTGACCTTCACCTATCTGCTAGCTGGATGAAAATCTATATATATAAAAAAATGAATCGCTGTTCGTTAGTCTCGCTAAAACTTGCGAACGGCTGGACCGATTTGGCTAATTTTGGTCTTGAATTATTTGTGTTAGTCCAGAGAAGGTTTAAAAGGTAGATAAATATGAAAAGGCTCGGAATTAAATAAAAATAACAATTTTGTTTTTCCTTTGATGTGTCCCCCGTCGGACGGATTCCTTTTGTTTGTTTTAAGTTAATGTTATACAAAAGGTATCTTTTATTTATCGATTGAGGCACTCGAAATCTGCCGGGTTAGCTAGTAATGAAATGAAAAAATATGTTTATGGTTAAAATTAATAAAAAAATATTTTTATTTTAAACTAGCTGACCCGGCAGACTTCGTAGTGCCTCAATCGATAAAACAAACAAAAAGAATCCGTCCGATGGGGGACACATCAAAGGAAAAACAAAATTGTAATTTTTATTTAATTCCAAGTATTTCTATTTATTTTCACCTTTAAACCTTCCCTGGACTTTCACAAATAATTTAAGACCAAAATTAGCCAAATCGGTCCAGCCGTTCTCTAGTTTTAGCGAGACTAACGAACAGCAATTCATTTATATATATATGTCGGCGCCTCTTTTTATAAACCATTAGTTCATGACTAATAAAGATGGGACGACAAACAACAGGTGCAAGCATTCATCGAAAACAACACGTGCAAGATAAGAATCATAAACAACATCGTCCCACCACGATACCTTGCTATAAAAACGCTCCGTTGTTGTCTCTCGAGCTCAGAAGCGAGCGAGCCGCCGTGTCGGACGGAGCGCTCCTGCGTAATATACGCTCTGAGTTCATTTCTGGTTTTATTGACTTACGAAGACCGCCCGCTTACCATGTTGCTACCCGAAAGTGGAAATACTCCAACATCAGAAGTGGGATCACCACGTGACGAAAAACGGTCTAATGACGTAATCACTTGACGAAAAACGGTCTAATGACGTAATCACTTGACGAAAAACGGTCTAATGACGTAATCCAAACTATAGAAAAAAGGATGAGATTGCCGTGTCGGCGTATGAATTTCCATTAGAAGAGATCAATGAGATACAATTTTTGGAATGAGGCTTCTCTTTGTGTGCCTAAGTTTGAACACCAGCGTGGAGGTTTGGTTGTTGATGGCGTGTAGGCCAGAGTTTGAACACCAGCGTGTAGGCTTGGTTGTGGCAATATAAGTAATGGTGTGTAGGCCTAACTTTGAACACCAGCGTGGAGGCTTGGTTGTTGCAATGTATGGTGTCGATACCCAAGTTAAGTATATCCCAATTTATCTCAATTTAGGTAATATGCAAAGCTCGTTTAGACCTGAAATTTGAGTGCCAGCATCGAGGCTTGGTAGCTCTTCTGACATCTTAGGGCCTTGGAGCCTGGAATCTATCTGCCAGCGTCGAGGCTTGGCAGCTCTAGATTATTAAGGCTTCCAGGCCTGAAGTCTTAACACCAGCGCTTGGGCTTGGTTGTTGATGCAGTGTAGGCCAGACTTTGAACACCAGCGTGTAGGCTTGGTTGTTGCAATATTAGTAATGGCGTGTAGGCCTAAGTTTGAACACCGGCGTCGAGGCTTGGTTGTTCTGGTATTCTAGGGTTTCAAGACCTGAAATTTGAGTGCCAGCGTCGAGGCTTGGTATCTCAAATTACATAAAGGAGTCGAGACCAGGACACTAAAAGTCGAACTCGATAGTAATTTAGTGTAATAGTTAAGTGAGATGATTTATGTGAAGTATATGATTTTGACGCAGGGACGCGTCATGAGCAGGATGGCCATTCGGCGCGTGTCTTTATAAACCATTAGTTCATGACTAATAAAGACGGGACGACAAACAACAGGTGCAAGCATTCATCGAAAACAACACGTGCAAGATAAGAATCGTAAACAACACCGTCCCACCACGATACCTTGCTATAAAAACGCTCCGTTGTTGTCTCTCGAGCTCAGAAGCGAGCGAGCCGCCGTGTCGGACGGAGCGCTCCTGCGTAATATACGCTTTGAGTTCATTTCTGGTTTTATTGACTTACGAAGACCGCCCGCTTACCATGTCGCTACCCGAAAGTGGAAATACTCCAACATATATAAATTTCACTATACAATAAATATATAGAAACAGCTTATTGAAGGAACATTGAAATATTCAAACATCGCCAGAATCGCCAGAAATCGTAATTGTATCTATTGAATTTCCCGTAAGCACTCCAATATCATCAAACCCATATGAACGTTGGATCCTAGGTTTAAATCAAATGCTATTTTGAGATTATTGTCGAGGACAGTTTCTAAAGTTTTTTATAATGTGAGATAATAATGATCATATAACTAAGATTTTTATGGGCACTTAAACTACCATGTCTCAATTTTTTATTAGCAAACAGACTTGACGCAAATTCTTTTTTTATTTTAATTTAAATAAGGCTCAAACTTCATTTCTTCTTTGAAATTTTAAGAAGCTGATTGAGTATTATTTTGATTGGTAATATAGTAAATATTTAAGGGCCTAATTATTAATAATATATGTCAAAAATATCTTAGTGCATAAAATAACAAAGATAATAGCTGCAGCAATCTTTTTTTTTTACCTAAAATGGTAGAGTAAAGTGCTTCATAGGCACCACTCGTGACTAGGATTTCATTGAAGGCATCTATCTGTCGTCCAATCAGCGGGGAGTAAACCTTTGATAGATTCTCCACGAGGCGCGGCAGACCCTAAAATATGAGAGATAGCATTATAAAATAAATTGCAAGTATAAAAAATATCAAATACCAAAGTACAAGAAGGCAGGTTTATACATAATAATAGTGCTATGGTCCATATTATTTTTGTCCTGCACATCTTCTATATCTTTGGCAGCGTATAAAAGATAAGACAATCACTAACATTACATTATAGCAAGTAATGTTGACTCTGCTAGGCTTGAATTCTGAACAAACAAATGAATGTTTTAAAATAAATTTCAGCAAACATACATTACATTATATATATCATAATCCTCCAAAAGTTACATTAGAGAACATCCTGTAGTTTCACTAGATGATTTGTCTTATGTTTGTAATTTTGGGGATAGTGGCAAATCTTATCGTTTACTTTTTAAATCTGTCATGACTACTGAGATCACTTACAAAGCCTCTTGTGTACTGATGAAGCAGTGGATTTTCACTGGTAGCTATCTGCGATAGTGCTTCTGTTACATGTTTCGGTGCGTGATAGTCAGGAAAGCCCTGACCAAGGTTCACGGCAGGCTTATACTCTGCAGCTAATTGTATGTACTCAACCCTGTAAATTTAAATTTGGTTGGTTTTGTTTTGGATTTTAAATCAGTATAGATATCATAATGTGAATGCCGTCATACATAAAGCCACAAGATTAGAGTTTTAAATGTATTGTTTTGGTTCCCAAACAATTATGGGCAAGATATTTTTTTTCTAATATGAGATGATAATCAGAGAACCCCATAGCCAAATTACTTTAAAATCCTATCTCTAGTTCCTTTTCTATTGATACAAAGTACTTACCAATTAGAAAACTTTGCAATTGGATAAAGTTAGTAAATTTAACATCATTTTTAAATAAAAATTTAGGAAAATGAAATAGACATAAAATTCAGTAAATACCAAGCGTAATAATTAATGAAATACATAAAAATACTTAAGTATTTAATTATTTTATGGTTAAAATATTAAAACTGCAGAGTGTGATCTTGTTTTATTGCCGTATATACAGACAAGCATACGGCCCACCTGATTGTGAGTGGATACCGTCGCTCATGCACGTCAGCAATGCCAGGGGCAGAGTCAAGCCGCTGCCTACCAAACGATATGGTAATTAAGCATTCTGTTGACCTTTTTTTCCTACCTAAGCTGATGGTCTTGAGAGACCCTATCAACGTCATCAGGCGAGTAGGTGAACTCACGGGGCTCAAATCTGACGTTGTTGCTAACACGAACCCTAGCAGGAGCCGTGCTTTGCAGAATCTACCACCGGATCGGAAACGCGACTCATTGAGAAGATCCGGCGAGAAACTCAGTGGGCTGTGTCTGTGGGTTAATTAATTCGCCGAGCCGTTCGTCGCGAGCGACGGGTTCGACGAGAACGATGATCTGTTGACCAAACAACGTTAAATGTTTACGTAATAGTAGTTATTATAGTACAGTTTAACAACAAATTGTTTTCTTGGATATAGTTAGGAGTTGTGAGTACTTGTGATGCGAATTAATAGTAAAAACCGATTGAGAAAATATACTTTTTACTACAGATAATAAGTTTAATTGTAAACGTACCATACGCTTTTCTCACCAGCTCCATAACGTTCCGGCAATCGAAACTTTTCTGCCATTGTACGACAAACACTCAATTGTCGAATAAAATGTTCTAATTTCACACTCCTCGATAGACTACTGTAATTCACAGCAGCGAACAACCGTCGGCTCGTTCTAAACATTATAAATATCAATAAATAGATAAAACGAGATAAAGCGCGCTATTTAAATATGATCCTTAACCTATTACGACATGACAGTCCAGATAAAAACGTCAATTTCTTTCACGTACATAAGCGTTGATTATTAATATAGCAATGTGAAGAACGACGAAATACTCACCTATTTTAAATATTTTAATGTTCCATTATTTACATACATACGCGTACATACATAGAATACTTAAACATAAATTCATAGATTATACACTTAATATATTTGAGCATAGATTATACACTTAATATTAGAGAATACTTATAGATACGTCAGTCAGGGATATAGTTAATACACTTATTTTAATTTTAAAACGGCAGGGACGTTGAGTTTGGCCCCCTTTTTTATTTTCGGATTTTTTTTAATTTTTAGTTATTTTTTCGTCGTTTGTTCGTTAATGTTCGAATTTAAATATTTATTGTCCCTTTTATTTATTTATAATTAATTAAACAAATGTTCACCCTTAAGTTGGCCCCTTTTACTGATATCTTTATTTTTATAGCTCAGATTAATTAATTTTGATCAGTTATCGTTTGCTCGACGACTATTGGTGATTGTTCGATCATAAAAACAATTAAATTCCCAATTCTTATTTATTTTATATCTAAATAAGCAAACCATCACCTCACGCCACCTTTTTTTATTTTCGGATTTTTTTATTTTTAATTATTTTTTCGTCGTTTGTTCGCTAATGTTCGAATTTAAATATTTATTGTTCGTCTTTTATTTATTTATAATTAATTAAACAAATGTTCACCCTTAAGTTGGCTCCCTTTACTAGATATCTTTATTTTTATCGCTCAAATTAATTAATTTTGATCAATTATCGATTGTTCGATGACTATTGGCGATTGTTCGATCATAAAAACAATTAAATTCCCAATTCTTATTTATTTTATATCTAATAAGCAAACCATCAATCATCTCACGCCACCTTTTGTTTGATTTTCGGTTTATTTTTTATTTTTAATTGTTCGTCGTTTGTTCGTTAATTAACTAAGCAGATGATCACTTTATACTCTATAAACAGGATTTTATTTAAAAAATATATTTATTTACGTCTATATTAACTTAATTATTATCATCGAGAAGTATCTTGATTTATATATATTACAAGGCTTGGTTTTTTTATTCAGATTCATTTGTATTGTTAAATATGAAACATAAGGTATTTTATCTAATAAGTTTATTCTTTTATATTAAATGAATTTCTACTAAATGTCCCTACAATATATTTCTTGAACTTATAAATAATTATCATTTCAACAAAAATAGATCAGGTGATCATTTGTTTAATTAATTATAAATAAATAAAAGACGAACAAACAACAAATGGGCCGTGGTTCATCTACCCATATTTTTTTTGTAAAATAAAATAAAAGCCAAAAACTTTTCCGGCAATGACAATTTAGGTATTAATAACATTTTATGTACCTATTTCCCGAGTCCTCGTTCGCCTTATTTATGTGCATTAATTTTGTCAGCATCAATCGACCTAATAACAAACTCGTGTACAGTCGGATACAAAATTTTATGACATAAATATTTATAATCATTTTTTATTACGCTTCTTCTTATGATCTGTTAAGATGGAATATATTAAAGTTACACATGAAAACTGTCGCGACTGGATTTTTACTGTGGTTTCTTGTTGTCTTCGAAGATATACGATGATACGTGGCCAAGTCACTGTCTCGCGCTATAGGACTTTTTTAACTTGCGCTTAAATAAGACATGACGCAGCGCTCAAGAAACACTGTGGAGGATTTCATTCCAGATTATTTACGAATAATACTGAAAAATAGCTTTGATTCAAATAAATATGTTAGAACGAATAGTCACTGATCTGCAAAGAACAATGGCAGCTTTCTATACAACATTTTACCTGATATCTATTTGAGGCGTCTTGAAACAAAAAAATACTAAAACGATAGGAATAACATAGCTTAAGCTTAATCAGAAATATTTTTGGTATTAGAAAGTCACAAAAAAAAGATATCAACGTGTTTACTTTATAATTTGAGGTTATCTATCAATAAATAGATTTCTCTGATTTTTGTAGGCACGGACTATAACAAATTGAAAAAATAAGTAAATGATATGTTTAAATAACATTTTAGTTTCATTATCATAGATGAACCAAGGATACACTTCTAATAGTACTCGAGTAGGTACCCTTAGCAATTGCAGAGCTACCTCGGTAAATATACATATTATATAGTTTGTTCTTTCTTCTTTGTAAATGTGTAAAAATGTGTGTCAGAGATAGGTACTTTTAACCTTTTGAACGAATTAGTCACATATTTGCGACAAACGAAGGCTTGCAAAGCTAATTTAGTATAGTAGAATTATTTTGTCCGTGCAGTTTGGGTCATAAAAAATCGGAGCGGTGAAGCAAGTATTTCGCTCTCTCTTCCACTCACGAGCCTTATGGACGGGCATAGTCATGCGCATTATGTCAGTTGTTATACTGTTCAAATCATTGTCATCTGAAGTGCTGGCATTACTATTATATATTTAGTTATTTAAGTACTAATTGTAACAAAGGATAATTAATATTATTATTTTCATTTTAAATACTTTATGAATATTATTCATTATCAAAAAATATTGCTTTTTGTCCCAATAGTATAAATGCCATCCTTTACAAATGTATTAAACCGGAAGTACACAAAAATCGAATTAAAAGCTTATTAAATTAACATTTTTTCGTGGCTTTGCCACGTAAATCTAACATCGTATAAAAAACGAGCAAATAAAATGATGAAGTTTCGTTTATGTCTTAATCTAAGACGCCTTTTAAAACATTCAGGTAAAAAATTGCCATTGTTCTTTTTGTATAGAATATGTGTTTGGCTGTATCTGTGTGGATGCGTGTGTATCAGCATTAGGCATGATGCGATCACTATCCCGCATTTACTAGCAGTAGAGGGCGGTGTGGGCCCGCACGGCTTGATGGGTGTTAAGACCGTAATACGACACTATCACGGCAATCCTGGGGGACATTCAAGTTGTGACCTTTAAAGACTGGTCACCACTTAACATAAGGGGCCCTAGACCTCGTCCACTAATTAATATGTATAAAAATTGAACAGACGGCTTTAAAATCTATTTATTTCAATTGAAACCTAGTTACGAGCTGTCGAATAACGTTTTTATGCTATCTATTCTGTTTCGCGAATGCAAAATTTGTTGTCAGCGCTGTTCTTTCGAGGTTTGAGAATGAGGATATTTTTGAGGTGTTGTTGTAGCATTTTCCCTGGATATTTGGTTTTGCTATCGCGACAGTTGGGTCGTGTGTTCAACAACTACAGTTTAGAAATATAGCAGATAGGCGTCAGAAAACTAGAAAATTTGTTTTAAAATTCGACACTGGTTCCTGGTAACAAAAATGGGGTCATTTAAAAAAAAAAATCCAAATGTATAAATATGTTTAAATAATATAATATATAATTGTATAAATGTAAATAAATATAAATGTATAAATAAATGTATCTCCATTTTTTTTAAATGAAAATCAAACCTAACCTATTTATTAAATTACTCAATTTTACAGGAAATAAAAGCATGTCGTGAGATTTACTCGTACCCACATCAAAAAATCTTTGAAGTCAGCGTCCTTTCACGCCTACACCTTCGCCTTCATAAAAACCGTAATCAAGTAAATCGAAAAAAAAAATATCGAAAAAAAATGTCTTAAACTTATACGTTTAAAAATAGGTAAAGTCAATAACTTCAATAAGAATTTTTGATTACAGTTCCACGCTGGTTTCGTAAAACTCCATAATCATTTTAATAATTCATTCTGATCTTTAGTAGTAGTTTCATTCAATCGATCTTTTCAAATTGGTAAATCTTTTAGTCAGACTGTAGAATGTTTGTTGAAAGCGATCGACATGTAGAACTTCACCTCTGGCTTTAATAATAAAGTTTATTTTTAAAACTATGCTTGACATTTTCTTTTTGTAATACAGTGTTTTATATTTTTTATAATTTCGAGTATTTTAAGTACATAGTTTGAGATTTAGTTTGGAAAGTACATTGTGTATTATTAATTTAGATTCAAAATTAAAAAGGTTATTTTGAATATTTATAAATGAACATTACTTACAACAAAGTTTAGCGTTTTATTCAAGAGCGTATGAGATATTTTAATTATTTCTCAAATGTTTATTAAAAAGACACCAGCAATACATAAAATTTTCTAATTTTAACACGAATTTCATAAAAGTCAATAGTTTTGTTACCATAATTATAAATGAAGTTTTTTTTTTCTAGCAAACGATAAATAACATGGCGAATGAAGCTAAAACAAAGTACAAAAAAATATAAAAAAAATATTCAAAAAGTAACCGGGCTTTTGTTTTTCGTCATCTCTTGTTCTTATCCGAAGCTCTTGGAAATCAAATTAAGGTGAAACAAATTAAATTGTCCATAACCTAAATATATTTGAATGTAAGACTTTGTACTTTTTGTCATTTCATATTAATGTTCAATACGTTTGCTCAATACGTTAAATTCAGGTATATATATTTGCCCTTTTAGAAAAATTGTTGAAGCCGCTGAGTTAACTTTTACGCTGTCGAGAACGTAACAAAACTCACACGAAGCAGTTAGCACGAGCGCAATCGTGAACATTTGTTAAGTACGTTGTACATATTTCATTACAAAAATTGGTACCCGCCTGCGGGATTCGTACACCGTTGCATCGCTAAATACGAATGCACTGGGCGTCTTATCCTTTAGGCCACGACGATATCAATCCTACTTAAAAGTTCGCCTTAAAAATGAGTAAAATGGTGGTACCAGTAAATATGAAAATTTATCAACATTATTCTTTATCGTGGAAGTAGTCCGAGAACACGTGTTCAGTACGTATTACCTTAGAAATATATCGAGGGGTGAAAGGTATTTGGGTTTCAGCGACATATAAAAGCAACTTTACAGTAGAGCCATTTAAGCTTTAAAATTTAGAAAAAATATAAAAAAAACTTGTTGAGCGATTTGAATGGAGTAAAAATAGCCTCCCTCGATATGTATTTGCGAGATATGTACCGGTAAAAGTTGCATCGCTTTAAGGTACAGTAAATGTTGTGTTCTAAGCCACGATAAACCTATGTAGT